CCTCCGGCACCGTTTCCGGACAGATCCGCTGGATCCGCTGGATCCGCTGGATCCGGTGACGAATCCCAAACCGGCGCCCTCGCTTGAGACATCCTCACAAAACCGGCCCCGGGGGAGGTGCCCAGAGGAACCCAGAGCGGCTCCGGCACCGTTTCCGGACAGATCCGGTGGATCCGCTGGATCCGCTGGATCCGGTGACGAATCCCAAACCGGCGCCCTCGCTTGAGACATCCTCACAAAACCGGCCCCGGGGGAGGTGCCCAGAGGAGCCCAGAGCGGCCTCCGGCACCGTTTCCGGACACAGATCCGCTGGATCCGCTGGATCCGACGAATCCCAAACCGGCGCCCTCGCTTGAGACATCCTCACAAAACCGGCCCCGGGGGAGGTGCCCAGAGGAGCCCAGAGCGGCATCCGGCACCGTTTCCGGACAGATCCGGACAGATCCGGTGGATCCGCGCCCCGGGGGAGGTGCCCAGAGGAGGAATGAGGAGGAGGAGGAGGAGGAGGAGGAGGAGGAGGAGGAGGAGGAGGAGGAGGAGGAGGAGATGATGGAGCTGCGGGGTGGAGGAGGACAGACGGAGGCAAGAGAAGGATGGAGGAGGAGGAGGAGGAGGAGGAGGAGGAGGAGGAGGAGGAACCTCATCACCCTCGCCAACAAGCGCACGCACCTTCTTCTATATACAGAAACTCCCGATCAACCGCAGAGCGGCCGGCTAGTATTCATATTGAGTAATTGTAAAGGGGGTGGAGGGGGAAGGGGGGGGGGGAGGGGGGGGGGGAGGGGTAGGGAGGGGGGGAGGGGGGGAGGGGGGGGGGGAGGGAGGGAGGGATGGATGGGGGGGGGGGAGGAGGGGAGGGAGGGAGGTAGGGAGGGAAGGCCCGTGCGCGCGCGCGCCCAGAGCCGCCGCGCCGGGGGGCTGGGCTGGGCGCCCTTAGGGGCGCGATGGCGCGGCAAGGGCCGCGGGGCGGCAGCGGCGGCTGCCGCGGCCGAGGCCGCGCCTCTCCGCCGCGCGCTCCACCGGAGCTGCAAGGACGGATTTCTTGATGGGCATAATTCCCACCACCACTACCATAGGCAGAACGGGTGAGAGGGAAAATGGGGAGGCCCTTCTGTTCCTCCAGTTTCTCCTCCTCCTCCTCCTCCTCCTCCTCCTCCTCCTCCTCCTCCTCCCTCTCGTCTTATGGTAGTGGTGGTGGTGGTGGACAGTCGGCCCATAATTTTTGGCGAGGGAGAGCCGCAGAGATCCTGGGGGCGCGTCATGGGGGGGCGATATTCATCGAAGAACAACAAAAACGCCATAACAAAGAAATAGTTGGCACTCCGCGCGGATTTCTTGGATCCGCGCTGGGCCCCCCCTGGCGGCGCCTCTGTCGCCGCCCGTGGCCCGCTCCGCGCGCCAGGGACGGGGGTCCAGGCCAGATCCAAGAAGTCCGCGCGGAGTTGCCACAAGTGTGTGTTTATGGCGTTTATTCTTCTTCTAAACACATGGCGGGGGGCAGCAAGGGCCGCCGAAGAGGAGCCTTTGAGGGCCCCGGTAGGGCCTCAGCACTGCCCCGAATCGAGGCCTTCAGGGCCAGATCAGGGTGCCTTTCTTGCCCTTCCATTCAATCCCCCCCACTAACTCGACTACACGTAAGAGTGATCTTTGGCCCGAGTGACTTTCGGTGCGGGGGCCCACTGGTTTTCCCCGATCACCGAGGGCGATGCGATTGTAGCGTCTTGATCGCCTGTGTGGGGTCCCTGGCAGCGTCTGCTATCGCGGCACCTGAAGAGCCGCCCGAGGCGTTCGAATCCAATTTGTGGAATTCCGCAGTTGCCCGCTGGCGCTCAAAATCATCCGAGGCGCGCCCCGCCGATCGTTGATGCGGCGCGGCAGCGCTGGCTTGCGCGCTTGCGTCGGGCCTGAAGGGGGACCTCTGGAACCGCGCACCAAAGGGCACGCTCGCCTAGGGTCTCTGTTGCGCGTCGCTGATGGATTAGGCCACCGCCGAGGGAGCAGCGGCGGCGAAGGTCGAGCAGGATATCGACACCATCAAGACGGTACTTGACGCGAAGGAGTCCGCGTGTAATCAGGCTGGGCAGGAGCTGGCCCCCTCGCAAGACTGCGCCGGTGGCGTCAAAGCACGCGTCGTCCAAGGCGTCCGCCAACGACGCCGCCTCTGCGCCTGGCCTCGCTGGCGCCTTCGCGATTGTCGAGGCCTTCCTCGACCACGCAATGCCCCCGCCCTGCTGGCAGCCATCAGGGACGAGGTGCAACGCCTCGACGTTCAGATGCAGGGGCTGCCGGCGGCGTTGGTGAAACAGCGCAGCTTGCGTGAGCTCCCGGCGCCCCTGGCTCGCCTGCCGCTCAAGCAGCCCTGGGAACGTTGGCCGCTGGCGCCCCTGTCTCGCAGCCTGCCCCCGCGGAGCCTCAGTCCCAGCAGCAGGTTAAGCGCTAGAGCCCTAGCCGGTTCCAGCGCTGGGGGTACCGGCGGGGGGTCCGTCGCGGCCAGAGAAGCACAGCGACTCTGGGTTCATCACGTTCAACGATCATTCTTGGAGCAATGCAAAGCGGCTCTTCGGCAGCGGGGGCGTCGCGGCCAGCGCCGTCGCTTTCTGGCGGTCGCGACTCGTGGGCGACCAGCTCGCCCGATCAACGAAGCGGCGCGTTCGCCATGGCTGGCGGCCTGTCTTCTCCGAGGCCAAGTTGTCTGAGGCTAGACGACCGATCGGCTGAGTCGGTGGGTCACGAGGGCCAACGTCGCGGCCGCCTCTCTGGAGGGCGCCCCGTGCGGCGACGGCCTTGAGTCGATTCTTCGGCACGCGATGCGCGGTGCTCGCCCGCGTCGACTAAGCCGCGAATTGGGGCTTCGCTGTCGGGTTAGCCCCCCCCGAGCAGCGCCGAACGCTTCAGCGTGGCAACGTGCGCGGGCTGCTAGAGGTCGCGCGCGCGCGACAGGCCTTCCGTCATCAGCGGAGGCTGGAACGCGCCGCCCGCGGCGCTGGCGCGCGACGGCGTCGCCCAGAGAGCGCCCGGCGCTCGCGCGCGCAGTGGCAGAGGCGCATGCTGGGCGAAGGCCCTCCTGCACTCCCTGTTGGATTACTGATCGGCCAGCGGGGGCTCGGCACCCGTGGCTTCGACCCCTGAGCCCGTCGACGGGTGGCCCGCGCAGGTTCGCTGCCTTGTGCGCGCGCGGCTTCCTGCGCGCCCGCGGGATCGCTGCGCGCTTCAGACGGGGGCCCCCGAGGGGCCCCGGGCAAAGCCCGCTGTGTCGTCGACGGAGCTCGAGTGCGAGGAGGAGAACCATTCGGGTCGACCTCGCCGCGCAGTTCGCGGAATCCCGTGAGAGTCTTGGCGCGGATCGACAGCGGTGGGCCGCCGACGTCGTCGGGGGCGCCGTCGGCGGGGCTGAGCAGGCGGTCGGCGAGGCCACGCGACTCAGAGGATGAGGCCGCGCAGTGTTGTGGCCGAGCCGAGGGGCCCTAGTGCGCGCGGCGCCCCGCGGGTGGCGGCGTCGAGGCTTGGGTCGCCCCTTTTGGCAAGAGCCCTGCGCCCCCCCCAGCACGCCGCCGTCGACTTGTGCTCCTCAAGAACCAGATGCGAGGTGGCCCAGCCGCGCGCGCGCGGACCTGCGCAGGGCGCTGGGCAGCGATCGCACCTGGAAGGGGCTGGTCGTTAGGGCCGACATCGGAGGCGTCGTCGCGAAGGTACTCGCGCTGGGCTACATTTTCCACGAGGCAGAGGCCAAGGCCATCACCCTCGGTGGCTTGGAGTCCTGGCTGGGGGAACGGGCGCGCGTCGGGAAATAGACGGGCGCCGTCGCTCGTCGGCAGAGTTTCGCTGCGGGGGCCACAGAGAAGGTCGTCTTCCGGCGCAGACTAAGCCCCTGGCGACGCGGCGCAGCCACAGACCAAGCGGACCTGGCAAATGGGTAGGCGAGGGGTGCAAAGGGGAGGCGGGGACCTCGGGCGCCAAGGTGGGGGCGCACTTGCTCGAGGTCTTGCCGCGCGTCGCGCGGGCGACGTGCGCCCCCTGTCAGCGCGGCAGCATCGGGCCGGCGTCCCGCGCGCTTCCACGGAGGACGGGGCCTCGGCCAATGACACTCCATCCCAGGCGCTGGGGCCCCCCTTCCGACCGGATGCGCGTGGTGGTGGGCATTTTGTTGCGCGCGGTGGAGGTCTGGAGTTGCTGGCCCAATCAGTTTTGGCCCGCGCACGTGGCCACGCTGCGCTTGGCGGCGAAGGGCCCCTGCCTCGAAAGAAGCCACCGATCCATCGCCTGTCCTGCGCTCGCATCACGGGTTGATCGCGCGCGGTCGTGCCGGCGAGATCGAATGTCGGAAGA